ATGGCCCAGGATGCCTGTTACGTGTGCGGATTCCTGGGCCCTACACACTGGAGGTCTGAATTATGTAGGCTCTGGGAATGAGGATGGGGAGCCAGGACCCAGAAGGCATCCTGAGGCAGAGGCCTGCCTCCCACACTGACAAATTCTGCTGTCCTTCTTCACATCCTCTTCACATCCAAGCAGTGAGCCCACTCTACTCACTGAGTCAGCAAACTTCTGTGAGGCAACCACCCCAGTCAGATGCTGTGCTGGCCGTAATTTAACATTTATTCTGTTGACAGTTCGGTTAATGGTTGTGTCTTCCACTAGACTATAGCTTCGTGAGGATCAGGACCTGGCCAGTTTTGCTCATTGCTGTATTCCTAGGGCCTAACGCAGAGTAGATGGTCAATGACCATTTATTAAATGAATGAATGAAGTGAAAGGGTAAGAAAATATTGATATATGCGAAGACAAATGAAACCCAGTCCTTGCCTCAGAATGCTTACAACCTGGGTGGCTGGGCAAGTAAGCCCATCAGGACAAAAAAGAGTTCTTGTGTTTTGTGAGATATGGTCAGGCATGAGGCAACCACTTTCCAACCAGGCTGAACCCAAACTGGATCAGGCAGGAAGATGACAAGACTGGATCTTTGGAACTGGAGGGCTGACCTGAACTGGGCTAGAAGAGAGTGAGTCAGATGGGAAGAGGCAGGGAAAAAGATAAGTGGCGATTTGTCACCAGGCAGACAGGCTGCAAAGATGATAATGATAACACATAAGTTACCAATGACAAGGGTGTGTGGTGGGCCAGCATCCTGTTCTAAACTTCACCCTGCGTTTACTTTATCCTACTTAATTCCCACAGTAATCTACAAGATATCAGTGATCAGCTCTGTCTTAAAAATGGAGAAACCGAGGCTCAGACAAGTTATGTCCTATCTTTATAAGAACAGAGCTGAGGTTTAAACCCAGGTGGTGTGAAGCCATGGCCCCTGCTGTGTTGCACTCCGAGCAGACAGAATTAATGACCCCCGCAATAAGACAGGGATGAAGAGTCAGGAAAAGTGTAGAGAGATAGCCAAAAGCCTTCCCATTCAGAAGCATATGGCCACCACCCTCTTTAAATAGAAGTGTGGAGAGATTGTTCTCAACATGACATCCAAGGTGTTCCATCTTTACCTTAAAAGGTCCTCTAAGGAATCTAATGATAAATAAATAATTATAAATAAATAAATTTGGAAAGGAGTATGTCAAGGCTACTTATTGTCACCCTGCTTATTTAACTTATATGCCAAGTACATCATGCTTGGATGAAGCACAAGCTGGAATCAAGATTGCTTGCCAGGAGAAATATCAATAACCTCAGATACGCAGATGACACCACCCTTATGGCAGAAAGCAAAGAAGAATCAAAGAGCCTCCTGATGAAAATGAAAGAGGAGAGTGAAAATGACGGCTTAAAGCTCAACATTCAAAGAACTAAGATCATGGCATCTGGTCCCAACACTTCATGGCAAATAAATGGGGAAACAGTGGGAATAGTGATAGACTTTATTTTGGGGGGCTCCAAAATCACTGCAGATGGTGATTGCAGCCATGAAATTAAAAGACGCTTGCTATGAAGAAGAAAAGCTATGACCAACCTAGACAGCATATTAAAAAGCAGAGACATTACTTTGCCAACAAAGGTCCATCTAGTTAAAGCTATGGTTTTTCCAGTAGTCATGTATGGATGTGAAGGTTGGACTATAAAAAAAGCTGAGTGCTGAAGAATTGATGCTTTTGAACTGTGGTGTTTGGGAAGACTCTTGAGAGTCGCTTGGACAGCAAGGAGTTCCAACCAGTCCATCCTAAAGGAAATCAGTCCTGAATATTCATTGTAAGGACTGATGTTGGAGCTGAAACTCCAATACTTTGGCCACCTAATGCAAAGAACTGACTCACTAGAAAAGGCCCTGATGCTGGGAAAGATTGAAGGCGGGAGGAGAAGGGGAAGACAGAGGATGAGATGGTTGGATGGCATCACCGACTCGATGGATATGAGTTTTAGCAAGCTCCAGGGGTTGGTGATGGACAGGGAAGCCTGGCATGCTGCAGCCCATTGGGGTCGCAAAGAGTTGAACACGACTGAATGACTGAACTGAACTGAAAGGAATCTAATCACTAAGATCTGATGGACCTCAGTGTCTCTCAAGTTATCTCCTTAATACCTTAATTCCATGGCAATGCCTTAGTTTCAGCCTAATCTGCCTTGTCTACACAATGTCACGAATATCCTATCTGGTCTCTCCTCTTCTAATCTGCTCTCCAGCCAAGAGGAATCTCAGAAACACAATCTGCACCCCTGTTTGCTTCCCAGGTAGCTCAATGGTAAAAAATCTGTCCGCCAACACAGGAGACACAAGAGATGCGGGTTCTATCCCTGGCTTGGGAAGATTTCCTAGAAGAGGGCATGACAACCCACTCCAATATTCTTCCTGGAGAATCCCATGGGCAGAAGAGTCTGCAAGGCTACAGTCCGTCGGTTGCAAAGAGTCAGACACGACTGAGCACACATGCACACACCCTGTTTGAAATCTTCTAAGCAGTGGTTGACAAGCATGACTGCTCATTAAAATCACCTGGGAAGGTTTCAAAACATACCAGTGCCTGGGCTTCACCCCCAAAGATTCTGATTTAATTGACCCAGGGTAGAGTTCAGATATTAGTATTTCTAAAAAGCTCCCCAGGAGCTTTTAATATGGAGCCAGTCTTGAGCACTGCTACAGCTGAATGAGATACCCATCCCTGAGCTAGTCATACTCAGATTGAAGTCTCCTCTCCCACCATTCCTTCCTGCCCTATGTTCAATATTCTAGCCATGATGAACTGTTGGTGATTCCCCAGGATCATCTGTTTATTTTAAGCTGCCACTCTGCAACAAATGGTATGGTCTTTGTCCAGAAAATGTCCTAGCTCACCTCTTGTCAAACTCCTTAGTGTTCTTCTTTGCTTGGCCCCAAGGCCACCTCCTCCGTGAAGTCTTCATATGACTAGGCACAATTGGTGACTCCTTCCTCTGGGCAGCTGTAGCACTACACCTACCTCCATATGCACATGTCTCTATTGTTCTGAAACTATGTGTACAAACGACTCTCTCTCCTACATAAGGGTATCAGAACAGTGATGCTTCAGATAATTTGGTGGCCACTTCGTGTTTTTTGACCAACATTTTTCTAGCTCAACCTGTATCTTATCTCTCTATGTCTTCACAGGATCTTCTCTCCTACCACCTCATAGCCCCACACAGCCCCTCTGACATATGCGCAAACCTGGAAGTGCCAAGGAGCTAACCTCTGGGGCAACCCTTGACCAACAGGGATGAGAACCCAGGAATAAAGCCCTAGGGCAGTAATTCAGAAGTGCTTTTTCCACAGCTCTTCAGCGGGTCCTAGTGGGATCGGGCCAATCATACTACTATAAAGATTCACTTTAGATGAACAAAGACCTTCTTCCATTTTTCCAGGCCAACACAGGAACACAGAATCACAACAGTCTTGAAGACCATCATGAATGATGAAACGTCATCCGTGACCACAAGTGTTCACTGAGCACATAGAGCCTAAGCCTGTCATGGATTTGGCTTCCTAAGCCATCTCCCTCACCAATGATGCAATAATGAACGTACAAAAAAGGTCAAATCAAGAAGGCAATCACACACTTTTGGAGCTGGTAAACAAATAGCAAAACAAGATGTCATGAGGCTTCAACTGTGAGTGAAGTTAAGCCAAGAGAGCCAGCATCACTGAATATTTAAAGTTAAGAGACCATTGACAGTGAGATAGTATCAGCTTTCAGTGCTGACAAAGAGACTGCTGTGCACAGCCCACTGGGCTGTGTGTGGCAAACAGATGCCAATGTAACATCCAGGCTTCTGCTACAGAGGAAATGATTTGAGTAACTGGCAATAGTTTCAGAGGCCTGGCATATGCACTCATCTTTCCAGGTTCAAAGTTTAGTATATTCAAATGCAAATATATATATATATACTTTTGCATATGTATTTCAGGACTTCCATGGATATGTCACTGCCTACACATATATATGTGTTCATTAGCACACTGGTCTCTGGGCCCTTGAAGATTTATTAACTATAATTCAAATGAAAGTTGAAAATCGATGTATTTACAATAAAAACTTAAACTTACTATATGCTTTTAAATTAATGGATTAAATAATAAACATATTACAAGGTATTAGTGAGGTATTCATGTCTTTGAAATTGAACTTTGATGAATTTGAAAGGAAGCAGAAATAAATCACAGCAGAGTTAATGACCCTAATTATTTTTAATTACACACACACACACACACACACACACACAAGCTCCTCAAACGTGGAAATTTCACAAGAAATCTATACATCCATGAATTCATTTCAAATTACTATATTCAATACATGTATGTGGTCTCCAGGGGCTTTTTAAAAATTGATCTTTAAAGTGATTTCTTTTCAATATTTTAGAGATGAGGAACAAGTCTTCTCCACAATCTTTGACTTCCAAAGTGCTTTGTACAGAGCTGTCTAGTAAAGTTTATTATTTTGGTGATAGTGATAATAATAGAGTAAGAACAAAGAATGCAATGTTCAGTAAACAAAGAGTTCATTGTTTCCACAAGGGAACAATGAGTAGGAAGTAGAGATAGTACTAGAGTTATGGAAACCGACACAGTAAATCATGGATCTGGATGTGGTGAATAAAGCATTTGTCTCTGTTAGAATACTGATTTAATCAGTTTGCTGAACAATCATAAAGACAATTATCTTTCCACCCCTAATTGATCCAAGGCATTCTCTCCTCCAGAATAAGCATCCACTGCCATTTTACTCACCTAGTTCAATGGAGACTGATTTGCTCCTGGGCTTCCAGAAGCTCAACTCCTACTGCTCTGATTTACCATAACTCCCCTTTCCCTCTGCCCCATCCAGGTACCCTCAAACACATGTACACACACACACATACTCAGGGGTTTGAATTACCTTAACATTTTCTGGCAGTGCTTTGTTCTGGGTCAGCCCCAGAGCGAGCAATGCTATCACAGCGATGATGCAGGAGAAACCAAGGATGCTCAGTATGTTTTTAGAGCAAAATACCTTCAGTTCAGATTCTAAAATCAAAAGAAGAAGAGAAAACATCAATAAGAAATGAACAGACATTAATTTTCCTCCCGTTTCTGTATGGCCTATGTTGGCTTTCTGGAGACAGCAAAGACAGATAAAAGCTGATCTTTATCCATGAGGCACTTGCAAAGTAATTGGGTAAAAGTTAAAAAAACAAAAGGATGTGTCTGTACTGTGATGAGGGCCAAAACTGAGTTAGTGGCTGTGGTAAGAAAAATGGGCAGAATTAGGTCAGTGATGAGATACAAGATGAGAAGGAAAAATCCCAAACTAGCAGCTTGTTTACTAGGTCATATAAGTCTATCAAGGTTAAAGAAACAAAGAAAGCAAAGATGGCCTTCCTCAATTTTAAAATCTATCAAAATATGAGTACGATATTAAAAAGTATTCAGAATGTATTACCAAACAAACATCAAAGTCCCTCTGCTTCATGACATTTCCTGGCTTGACCTTCACTTCAACCACACTTACATGTTAAATAACTGTAGGTAATAACATAGGGTCTATGGAGTTTTAAACATTTCATCATTTGTATTATTTTGTCTATCCTGTAAATACTCTCATCATCACGGGACATAAAAAAGTCCCAGAAGCAGAATTCTATAAAAGGCAAATTTACTTTGAGCAGGATAAACAGAGGTTGTGGCAGCGGTGAACAGGAAATGGGATGGTTACCCCATTCCCTCCACTCTCATCCTTCCACTCTAGCTTCCCAAACTATCCCCAAACCTTTTCCTGAGCCTTTGGCGAAGAAGGACAGGGTCACGTAAAAGAAAAAAAAAAGCATGTGGAAATGAGATGGGCTCTCCAAAATAGTTTGCACTTCTCTAAGAGAGAAGGCCAGGAACCAAAGCAACTGAAAGAGGAACCTGAGTCCCCTCCTCCTCTTTCCCTCTTGCTCAGCAGCAGCAGCTTCGCCAACACAGGAGCTCCTCCTTGGGCTCGTGAGCACAAGCTTGGACTTAATCCAAAGGGTGGTAATTGCCTGCGTCTCCAGTCTGCATCTGCCTCTAGAACCTTGAATCAGTCTGTTTCCATCAAGCCAAACAGTACAAAACTTAGGGGGAAAAGTTTTAGCAACACCATTATCTACTTCTTCCAAACAAAGGAACAATGAATGAAATATACGATAAATGAAATGTCCCCCTCCTCCCTTCCCAAAGGAATCTGTTTTGTTCAGATGCCTTCTGCTCCCCTAAGCAGCCCAAACATCTGGGAAGGGGCTGACTGTTCTGCATAATCTTCTTCCCTCTCCAGTAATTGGTTCAACAGTGGGCATATACCCCCAAAACAGCCTGTGAGACCCTGGAGGAAGACTGCTGGGGCAAGTCTAGTAAAAGAAAGGAAGCATTCTCTCTTCTTCCTCAGACATGGTCCAGCCAATGATGGTAGAGCAGAGAGATGGAAAGAATTTGAGTTCTTGAAGCATTTTGAGCTGCTGAAACAACTTATCCTGATCTAATCCTCTCATGAGACTCAAGCTTTGATCCAATTAGAGTCATGATTTAAATACCTTGAAGCTAAAACATCCTGATACAACTGTGACAGGAATGTCCTTTTTGCTTCCAGAGCTGTGGAATCTGGAAAAGAGCCCCTTAGCTAACTTTACCTATCTCGGTTCCCAAAGTTGTGATATTGACAAACACAGCTTACAAGCAGCACATGTTTTAGATGAAAAATTGCATATCTAATCTAAAAATTGCACACTGTAACAATAATTATACTATAACAGAATTGTGAATACTCCCTCAAACTGTTCAAAAGGTCTACCTATTCTTTTGTTTCTGTAAATATGACAATTTTGATTATTTCATTTTCATTTTATCCATTTGGTTGCTAACCCAATGAAAATGACCAAAAAGGTCACTGCATATTGGAATTGACATCTAGTTTGGAAGATAGATAAGTCAGAAAAGAAGTCTGCAGATAAGGACTTCAGGTCATGAAAAGTGTGGAGGAGAAATTCAAACCAAGAAATGTTATAGAGTGACTTGCAGCAGAGTTGGGGTGGGGAGATTAGACTAAGGGTCAAGAAAGGTCTTTGAGAAGATGACATTTAAGCTTAGACCTTAAAGGTGAGAAAACACCACTTATGAGAAGGAGAAATAACACTCCAAGAAGAGGAAGCACAACCTGAAAAAGCCCTGAGATGGAAAATAGCTTGAAGTGACTCTGTTTCTTCCTTTTTAAAATGAGAATATTTACTGAATCATTATTAGCACTGAACACCAGGGAACCTTCCTACACTGTGGGTGGAAATAGGAGTTGGTGCAGTGACTATGGAGGACAGTATGGAGGTTCTGCAGAAAAATAAAGATAGAATTACATGGGGAGTAAGACCATCCCCAAGAAAAAGAAATGCAAAAAAGCAAAATGGCTGTCTGAGGAGGCCTTACAAATAGCTGTGAAAAGAAGAGAAGCCAAAAGCAAAGGAGAAAAGGAAAGATATACCCATTTGAATGCAGAGTTCCAAAGAATAGCAAGGAGAGATAAGAAAGCCTTCCTCAATGATCAGTGCAAAGAAATAGAGGAAAAAAAATAGAATGGGAAAGACTAGAGATCTCTTCAAGAAAATTAGAGATACCAAGGGAACATTTCATGCAAAGATGGGCTCAATAAAGGACAGAAATGGTATGGACCTGACAGAAGCAGAAGATTTTAAGAAGAGGTGGCAAGAATACACAGAAGAACTGTACAAAAAAGATCTTCATGACCCAGATAATCACGATGGTGTGATCACTCACCTAGAGCCAAACATCCTGGAATGGGAAGTCAAGTGGGCCTTAGAAAGCATCACTGCAAACAAAGCTAGTGGAGGTGATGGAATTCCAGTTGAGCTATTTCAAATCCTAAAAGATGATGCTGTGAAAGTACTGCACTCAATATACCAGCAAATTTGGAAAATTCAGCAGTGGTCACAGGACTGGAAAAGGTCAGTTTTCATTCCAATCCCAAAGAAAGGCAATGCCAAAGAATGCTCAAACTACCACACAATTGCACTCATCTCACACTCTAGCAAAGTAATGCTCAAAATTCTCCAAGCCAGGCTTCAATAGTATGTGAACCGTGAACTTCCAGATGTTCCAGCTGGTTTTAGAAAAGGCAGAGGCACCAGAGATCAATGCCAATATCCACTGGATCATCAAAAAAGCAAGAGGGTCCAGAAAAATATCTACTTCTATTTTATGAACTATGCCAAAGCCTTTGACTGTGTGGATCACAACAAACTGTGGAAAATTCTTTAAGAGATGGGAATACCAGACCACCTGACCTGCCTCCTGAGAAATCTGTATGCAGGTCAGGAAGCAACAGTTAGAACTGAACATGGAATAACAGACTGGTTCCAAATAGGAAATGGAGTACATCAAGGCTGTATATTGTCACCCTGCTTATTTAACTTGTATGCAGAGTACATCATGAGAAATGCTGGGCTGGAAGAAGCACAGGTTGGAATCAAGATTGCTGGGAGAAATATCAATAACCTCAGATATGTAGATGACACCACCCTTATGGCAGAAAGTGAAGAAGAACTAAAGAGCTGCTTTGTGAAAGTGAAAGAAGAGAGTGAAAAAGTTGGCTTAGAGCTCAACATTCAGATAATGAAGATCATGGCGTCCGGTCCCATCACTTCACGGCAAATAGATGGAGAAACACTGGAAACAGTGTGGCAGATTTTATTTTGGGGGGCTCCAAAATCAAAGCAGATGGTGACTGCATCCATGAAATTAAGATGGCTACTCCTTGGAAGGAAAGTTATGACCAACCTAGACAGCATATTAAAAAGCAGAGGCATTACTTTGCCAACAAAGTTCCATCTACTCAAAGCTATGGTTTTTCCAGTAGTCATGTATGGATGGAAGAGTTGGACTATATAGAACTCTGAGCACCGAAGAATTGATGCTTTTAAACTGTGGTGTTAGAGAAGACTCTTGAGAGTCCCTTGGACTGCAAGGAGATCAAACCAGTCCATCCTAAAGGAAATCAGTCCTGAATGTTCATTGGAAGGACTGATGCTGAAGCTGAAACTGCCATACTTTGGCCACCTGACACGAAGAACTGACTCATTTGAAAAAACCCTGATGCTGGGAAAGATTGAAGGCAGGAGAAGAAAGGGATGACAGAGGATGAGGTGGTTGGATGGCATCACTAACTCAATGGACATGAGTTTGAGTAATCTCCGGGAGTTGGTGATGATCAGGGAGGCCTGGGATACTGCAGTCCATGGGGTCACAAACAGTCGGACATGACTGAGTGACTGAACTGAACTGAGGATCCCACAATCCTACTCCTGGGCATATATCCAGAGAAAACCATATTTCACAAAGATACATGCACTCCAATATTCGTTGCAGCACTATTTACAATAGCCAATACATGGAAGCAACCTAAATGTCTATCAATAGACGAATGGATAATGAAGATGTGGTATATATAATGGAATATTACTAAGCCATAAAAAAGAACAAATAATGCCATTGGCAGCAATATGAATAGGACTAGAGATTATCTTACTAAGTGAAGTAAGGAAGCAAGAGAAAGACAAATACCATATGATCACTTACACGTGGAATCTAAAATATGGCACAAATGACCCTATCTACAAAGCAGAAACAGACTCACAGAGGACAGACTTGTGGTTGTCAAGGAGGAGGGGCAGAAGGACAGGGACGGGTTGGGAGTTTGGGGTTAGTAGAAGCAAACTGTCAAATTTAGAATCGATAAACAACAAGGTCCTATTGTAGCGCACAGGGAACTATATCTAGTCTCCTGGGATAAACGATACTGGAAAAGAATATTAAAAAAAAGTTTATATGTGTATAACTAAGTCACCTTGATGTACAGCAGAAATTAGCACAACATGGTAAATCAACTATACTTCAATAAAAAAATAATTTAAAAAAGGAATTATACTTCCCCACATTTGCCCAGCTTTTGCAGTGATATCTATATTATTAGGATATATGCAAGTCTTTCATCACATTCATCTTATCAAAGATATGATAACAAAAAGAACTTAAACCAAAGAATAAATTTAGGAATTTTTCAAAAGCTGTATTATCAAAAAAAATAATGACTTTTTCATGTGAACTAAGCACAACTGAGCAACTTTACTTTCATGCATTGGAGAAGGAAATGGCAATCCACTCCAGTATTCTTGCCTGGAGAATCCCAGGGACAGAGGAGCCTAGTGGGCTGCCGTCTATGGGGTCGCACAGAGTCGGGCACGACTGAAGCGACTTGGCAGCAGCAGCAGCAGCAAGTTACTTAGAAAGGAATAATTAAAATACTATGCTTTCTATGAACCATGTCAGATAGTTTTCAGAAGTCATTATCACATGGGAGGAAGCCAGGTTCTTCTTAGCAAGTGGTACCAGATGTGGGGCTTCCCAGGTGGCTCAGTGAGTAAAGAATTCAGGTGCAATGCAGGAGATGCAGGAGACACAGATTTGACCCGTGGGTCGGAAAGATCCCCTGGAGGAGGAAATGGCAACTCACCCCAGTATTCTTGCCTGGAGAATCCCATGGACAGAGGAGCCTGACAGGCTACAGTCCACGGGGTCGCAAAGAGTCAGACACGAGTAAAGAGACTGAGCACAGCCACAGACGTGGGGGTCCAGAGCTGGACTTAGCAAGACATGTTCATCAAAGGGAACCACTTTGGTAACCTGCCTTTCTTCCTAGGCCCCAGAGCTCTTTCAGATGTCATGTCTGCTCCAGTCAAGTTCTATTACGGAAAATTCACGATGACTGTATCCCCCTGAAAAGCCCTTCATTTCCCTTGTGGATAACAGAAACGTGGTTTGTATTATACAATGTGAAATTGTATTTTAAAAAACAATTTCAAGAAACGTTTTTACCAAAAATATCTTAAAGATAAAGTGTTATATTGCTTTGAATTTTCCCACTATCCTGAGGAACTCAAGACTGCCCCTGCCCTCCCATTCCCTTCCTGTCACAGGACGAATGAGAAAGTTTCTCTGTTTGAGCTGAGAGCCAGATAGAAATGTCAGTTCTTCACTTGACAGAGACACAACTGAAGGAACTCCAAGCTTTGACAAAACAGGCTGATTTCAAGCCAATTAGCTATGTCAGAGGCAAAAAAGCTGATTCCTTTTCACTCTGACAGAAACAGTTATCATGACATCCAGAGCTGGCATCCTATTAAAGATTAAAATTACGTAATTTGTCCTTAGTCAAAATTCTGCAATACAGAGGAATCCCAGCTTCTCTAATTTATGATTCCAAAGATGTTTTATCTTAAAATTTCACTCTATTAATAAGAAAGATTTGGGGTGTTGGCAGATGTGGTGGATTTTAGGCAAAAGAAAAAAAAAACACAGAAGTTTTGCTCTGCAGATTCAGTGTGACACATTAGATTCAAATCGTTTCCAATTTCTGATGGGTTACATCCAAACCAAGCTTGGCTTGTCATATAGAGAACAAAACAGCCAATACAGACAAGCACTGGAGAGTAACCTTCAGTGGAGTACTGTGGTCCCTTCCTGTGTTTACACAGGGCAGTGATGGGACAATCACTGAAGCTCAGGGGACTGGTCCTAATCTGACTTTGCCATTTCTCCAGCTCCTAGAGTATCTGCCCCCTCTCTGCCATCTTCCTTCCTCTCCATCGGGGAGTTCTTGGTGACACATACTTAGATTGTTCTCGCATTCAAGGGTTTAAGATCCTTTCTCAGCTGCTTCATTCCAAGTCCTTTAGACTCAACCTCTTTTACGGCAACAGCCATCCCTCTGTTCCAATCGCCACCAGTTCTTCTATAATAGCCCATTCTTGTATCTCCCTAATTCTTTTTCCTATCAGAATCCATCCTTCATGCACTTGCAGAGTTCCTCCATAATTGACATTCCCAGGGCTCTTCCTGATTAAGAATGAAGGTAGCTTTCTTCTGCTTGCCAGATGAAAGCTTCACTGTCTGCCCAGCCCTCTCAGCCCTTTAGAAATTTAAGCGCTTCGCATCTCACCATTCCAATAAGCAGATGTGTGTGTCTGAGATCATACTGCCTGACATTACAACCACTAGACTGTACATTCCCTAAGTGCCATGACTTTTTTCTGGCTCATTCATTGCTATAGTCCTAGTTGAATGAATAAATGAATTTTGCATGTTGACATTTTCAACATGAGGTTTCCTTCAGCTGGAATTCTATTCCCCTCTTTCTCCACCAAATCTTTTTCCTTGTCATGTTCAAACGCAAGCTCAATAGGAGGCTATGCTTCCCTCCACATTCTTCAAAGCTCAATGGTTCCAGTACTCCTCTCTTCATGTGCTACCTCTAGATATTTAACAGACTAACCTATTTTGGTTTGGGAGTTCTGCAGTTGTTATTTCATTCATTTTTCTATTAGTCAGTCAACAATTATGTATTAAATGCATTACACTATTCAGTAGACCTGCCTGAGGCTAGAGTTACAGCAGTGAACAGAACAAATTTTTCCATTTCATGGTGCTTATATTCTAGTTTGAAAAAAATAAACAAAACAAGTAAAATTTATAGTATGTTAATAATAATAAGTGCTAAGAAATGAGAAAAGGCAGGTAAAGAGGCAGAATAGAGTCATTAGGAAGGACCTGAGATGGTGATATTAAAAGTGATAGGGATAAAGAGACCACAAGCACACTACTTGGCCAAGAGCATTTAAGATAACTGGAACTGCATGTGCAAAGGCCCAGGGCTGGAACAGTACCTGGCCATGAGGCCAGTGTGGCTGGAAGAGTGATGAAGGGGAAAAGAGTAAGAGATGGTCAGGGGTGGGGTCACTGGGTACCTTGCTCATAGGGCTTTGTAGGTTCTGGTGAGGGTTTGGTCTTACTCTAAGTGATCTGACTTCTTTCTAATCATTGGTATAATTTATATTCAGCACCATGGTAAACAAGGGACCACCAGGGACCTTTGAAGACCCTGAAGAAGGAGGGTGTGATCTTTTAGGTGGCAGATCTCTGCCTCTTGTAATGAAGTGCTGAGGGGCCCCAGTGACATCAGCTCTTAGGACGACCACTCAGTCAAGTGCAGACAGAGCCTGGCTCTGCTAAAGTAGAGCCTGTGCCAAGACCAGGGCTGGGAAGACACGTCCAGGAGCAGTAAGAACCATATCATGATAGATCTTCTCTATACCTTCTGTTCTCGTTGGTAGCTCAGAGCTGTTAAATCTTCGCTGAGAGAACATCCTTATGAGAGGCCTCCAAACCAAAAGGCACCTGGATCCATCACTCCAAAGCCAAACTCCATAGACTTCTGAGGGGTGGCTCAAGCTAGAGCAGAGTCCAGACAACCTCACCTTTGCTCAGTCTCTAATCCTCCAATTCCTTGCATTCAAGATGATTCATAATAGTACGGACTTCATAGAGTTGCTAGGTAAGAGTCAATGAGCTAACAATACCTAACAACCTACAAAAGAGCCCTCACTGTATTCCAGATTATGTTCTCAGCATTCTACACATAGCAACTCATTTAACCTTCACAACACTCCTTCGAGGTACTATTATCATCATCTGTATCAGCTTCTATGGCTGCCACAAGAAATTACCACCAACGTGGGTGACTGACAACAATAGAATTTTATTCTCTCACAATTCCAGAGGCTAAAAGTCCAGAATCAAGGTGTCAATGGGGCCAAAGGCTCTGGAGAGATTCCTTTCTTGCCTTGTCTAGCCTCTGGTGGCTCCTGGCTTTCCCTGGCTATGGCTACATCATCCACAGTCTGCCTCTGTCTGCACATGACCTTCCCCCCTGTCTCTGTGTGCATTAGATTTCCCTCTCCTTTCACTTATGGGGCACCAGTCATTAGATTTAGGGCCCATCCTAAAGCCAGAATGACCTCAAGATCCTTAACTACATCTACAAAGACTTATTTCCAAATAAGATCGCAGCTACAGGAACTATTATTATCCTCATTGCTGTCACTTTACAGGTGAGGAAACTGAGTCATAGGTTAAGTAGACTGCCCAAAGTTACACTGATATAAATGTAGGGACCAGGAATTAAAGTCGGGCATTCTGGGTCCAGAAATCAGGCTTTTAGCTACCACTCTACCCTACACCATGGGGCTTCTCCAGTGGCTCTGCAGAAGCCTGCAGAGAATTCACCTGCAATGCGGGAGGTGCGGGTTTGATCCCTGGATCAGGAAGATCGCCTGGAGGAGGGCACAGCAACCCACTCCAGTACTCTTGCCTGAGAAATCCCATGGACAGAGGAATCTGGCAGGCTACAGTTCATAAGGTTGCAAAGAGCTGGACACGAGTGAAGCGACGGAGCACACAGGCGCTACCCTAAACCACATGACTGCGCCTGCTGTGCAGTACAAGTGTTGAATGTGGGAGTCGATCTCATTATCCAGAAGGGAACCGAGACTGACGTTAAGGATTTGACTGAAGGGGTTGTCTGGACTGTTGTCACACTTTTTCAAATATAGAGTCTTTTGGTCCTTGATGGTCAGAAGCTAGCAGCTAAGAGACAGAGGCTGGGATTACGGTTCCCAGGGAGGTTAAGGGACTTGCTTAAAGTCACACTGCTGGTAAGCAGCAGAACAGCGGCTGGATCCAAGTCTCCCAGCTCCACTCCACTGCCTCAACTATTGTCCTGTGTTAGAGATGCATACAAGTTACTCAGCTTCATTCCTTCTTGGCTGAAACAATCCAAAAGAACCCTAAGTTCTGTTCAAATAGATCTTAAATTTCACCCCCACCCCATATTTCCCAGTTAATAAATCCAGAGTCAGTTTGAAGATAAAGCAGTTTAATTTGGTGAGGTTTTTTTCCTGCCTGTTTTTAAGTCAAGGAAGTCAGTACAATGTCAATAAAGAGACAAATGCTAGAAATGCACCTCAAGGCCTCGATGATGGTCAGTTAGTTAAAGGGTAAAAAGTAAAGGAGAGTAGGGAAAATAAGATAGACACAGAGAATACGAGTGGAAGGGAAATGGGGGTGGGAATAGAAAGAGAGGTAGAGAGAGACAGGTTATTTAAGAAATACCCAAGTCCTGTTCCACAGATCGCTTGAACCACAGACTTCAGAGAAAGTTATGTGTGCTTAGTCGCTCAGTCGTGCCTGATCTTTGCAACCCCACAGACTATAGCCCACTAGGCTCCTCTGTCCATGGGGCTTCTCCAGGCAAGAATACTGGAGTAGGTTGCCATGCCCTCCTCCAGGGCATCTTCCCAATCCAGGGAATCGAATCCAGGTCTCCCACACGGCAGGCGGATTCTTTACCATCTGAGCCACCAGGGAAGCCCTCAGAGAAAGTTACTTGCTTTGTTTATAAGCCTTTGTTTCTGATCTTTGAAATGTTAATTAGCTGGTTAGTCTCAGTTCACAGTACTTTAGTTAGAAAAAGAATGCATTATCCTAACAAAGTATCCTGGTTGGTCCTGAGTGGTCCCCGAAGAGGCTCAGCTTTGGGTGGGAAGAGCCCATTGAGTGACCCTGGGCAGTGGAACTGGGGTAGGGGAACAGAATAAGTTCTTCCTGCTAGTCAGGTTCTGCCAACCTCAGCTCATCACCCAAACGTTCTTGCTGTGGGCTGTGCTCTTCTCAGATTGGCAGCAAGTAACTGACTGACTTTGCACTGGTGTGCCTGACTCTAAAAATGTTAATAATTGCAAAAATCAAAGAACAGCAGAAGATCTGCGTATGGGAAATAAGGAAGCAAAGGAATCCCCATCCCTTTCTCCTTCTCCTCACTTCCTCCCACCGTACCACCTACCTCCTCACCCACCCCCTTCTGGCCTTTCCTGAATTCTTTTGCCCATAGATTGCATGGAGCACAATAGATCTTTATGGACTTCGTGGATTCCCATATTCAAGTATAGGGTTGTTCTGGCAGAGTGATATCACTGAGACCACAGACAGGAATTCCCTGTGACCCAGCCAACAAGGGTAATAACCTCATGTATTGATGGTCTCTGCAATAAACATACTGCTTCCACTAAACAAATCCTCTTCCATATCTGAAATTGAAACAACTGTGCCCTGGGGATTCTATCCTTTCTCAAAGCAGCTGCATTTGTCAACAAGCCTTGGTTATGTGTTGCTGGTGAGAAAGACAGAAAATCTGTGCTGGCCATATATCACTAGTGTGGGAGTCAAAGTGGGGATGGGGTGAACTGACTCACCCAGGTAGCCCAGCCTCACAGCCCACCCCTCCACCCTTCCACCTCTGTCTTCTACATCTCTTTTGTAAGTTATCTTATTTCTACCTCCTCATTTTTTCACTTATGAAGTACGAAAGTCAGAAGCAACATAAAAATATTTCGGCAACAAAATATGCCATAAACAAAATAAAAAATTACAAACTGAGGAAAATGTTTGTAACAACTATGAAATAGTTGGTTTCCTTAATATATGAAGTCATTAAAAATTGATAAGACAATGATCAAGACAACCCCTCAGAATTACAAGTCAATACCAGAAAAATAAACAATCCAATCAAAAAGTGGAGAAAAGACCTAAACAGACATTTTCCCAAAGACATATAGATGGCTAACAAACACATGAAATGATGCTCAACATTGCTCATTATTAGAGAAATGCAAATCAAAACTACAATGAGATATCACCTCACACCAATCAGAATGCCCATTATCCAAAAGTCTACAAACAATAAATGCTGGAGAGTCTGTGGAGAAAAGGGAGCCCTCTTGCACGGTTGGTGGGAATGTAAATTGATTTAGTCATTATGGAAGATGGTATGGAGATTCCTTAGAAAACTAGGAATAAAACCACCATATGCCCCAGCAATCCCATTCCTAGGCATATACCCTGGGGAAACCAAAATTGAAATAGACACATGTACCCCAATGTTCATTGCAGCATTATTCACAATAGCTAAAACATTGAAGCAACCTAGATGTCCATCAACAGATGAATGGATAAAGAAGCTGTGGAATATATAAACAGTGAAATATTACTCAGCCATAAAAAGGAACACATTTGAGTCAGTTTTAATGAGGTGGATGAACCTAGAGCCTATTATACAGATGGAAGTAAGTCAGAAAGAGAAAGATAAATATCAGATACCAACACATATAAGCTGAGCACTGAAGAATTGATGCTTTTGAACTATGGTATTGGAGAAGACTCTTGAGAGTCCCTTGGACTGCAAGGAGATCCAACCAGTCCATCCTAAAGGAGATCAGTACTAAGTGTTCATTGGAAGGACTGATGCTGAAGCTGAAACGCCAATACTTTGGCCACCTGATGGGAAGAGCTGACTCATCTGAAAAGACCCTGATGCTGGGAAAGACTGAAGGTGGGAGGAGGAGGGAACGACAGAGGATGAGATGGTTGGATGGCATCACCAACTCAACGGACATGAGTTTGAGTAAACTCCAGGAGTTGATGATGGACAGGAAGGCCAGGCGTGCTGCAGTCCATGGGGTTGCAAAGAGTCAGACACGACTGAGCGACTGAACTGAACTGAACTTAATTGAACACATATATACGGAATCTAGAACGATGGTATCAAAGAATTTAACAGACATAGAGAACAGACTTATGGACATGGGGAGAGGGGAGGAGAGAGTGAGATGTATGGAGAGAGTAACATGGAAACTTAGATCACCATATGTAAAATAGATAGCCAATGGGAATTTTCTGTTTGATTCAGGGAACTCAAACTGAGGCTGTGTATCAACCTAGAGGGGTGGGTGGGGAGGGAGATGGGAGGGAGGTTCAGAAGGGATATATGTATACCTATGGCTGATTCATGTTGATGTTTGACAGAAAACAACAAAATTCTGTAAAGCAATTATCCTTCAATTAAAAAATAAATAAGTTAAAAAAATAAAAATGGGCAAAGAACATAAATAAGTAATTTAAAGAAAAATAAATACTGTCAACATATTAGAAGCATTCTAATTACTTTATCTTAAAGAACTGTACTAAATGAAAAATGAGATACTATTTATTACTTACCAGAATAACAATGTTTTTTAAAGTTTGATACTAGCAAAGTTTTTTAATATATAATATTACATACTTATTAGAATGGCAAAAAAAAATACAGTGTTGGCAAGGATGCAGAGCAATTGGAAGTCTCATACACTGCTGCTGGGGATGCAAAATGGAACAGCCACTTTGGAAAGAATTTGGGAGTTTCTTATGAAGTCAAAACACACATGTGTGTGTGTGTATGTGTGCGTGTGTGTGGGTGTGTGGGTGTGTATGCTAA